CCTGAGGCCACCCCAGATAAATTAAAGGTAATCCAGCTTGAGATACCGAGCTGAATTTCAATTCACATATCAAGAGCAGTGAAAGGAGACCAAATGCACAGACGGCAAGAGAGCTCCTGGGGCACAATCTGATTGCAGGAGGGATTAAAACAACTAGCAATGAGGAGAAAGGAGGCCAACCACAATGGAAGGTAATACCAACACATCTGCCTTATATGTTTTATGAAAGATGTAATTCCATTAAGGCTTATGGCTCTTTTTAGCGCTCTAGAAATGTGTATCCGATGCAGGTGCCTGGCCACTGGCAGTGGAGGGCTACAGGGTGGCCTCTGTAAGGAGAGGCCAGGGCTGCCCCATGCCAGACACAGATACAAGTTCCAGATGGTAAAAAAGACCCGCCACAGGGCACAGCTAAGCCCTGTAGCCAAGGTGATGGCACCTTGGGGAAAAAGGATTTTTAAAACAGCAAACATTGTGCAGGAAGTGAGTAGTGAGAAAAAGAATGTGTGAGCAAGAGCCCTGTAAGAGTAAGGTAGAGGAGGTAGACCAGACACCCAAAGCAGAGGTCCCCCTGCAGGCTCTGGAGACACCATGATGGAGCAGGTATCCACACTGCAGCCCAGGAAAAACACAGGGCTGGAGCAGGCGCATGTTTCCTGAAGGAGCTGCATCCCATAGAGTCCATGAAGGAGCAGATTTATCCTGAAAGAACTGCATCCTGTGGAGGGACCCAACTGGAGCAGGAGTATAGTATGAAGAGAAAGGAGCAGCAGAGAGGAGCTGTTATGCACTGACCATAACATCTCATTTTCCTCATCTCCCTGTGCCACTCAGGGCAAAAGGAGGTAGTTATGAATGAAGAAGTGATGTTGAGTCTGGAAAAAAGGGATGGTGAGGGGATAGGTGCTTTATTTTTTGTTATTGTTTCTCACTATCTAACCCAAATTTTGCTGGCCAATTTCCCCAAGTCACCTCTATTATGTCCACAATGGTAACTGGTAATTTATCTCTCTGTATCTGTATTAATTCATGAGCTTTTTCATCTTATTTTCTTCCTTCTGCCTTGATGAGGAGGTGGAGTAAGAGAGATGGACATCTAGCAGCCAGCCAAGGTCAAATGCAGCAAAATGATATTAACATTGATTCATGAGACTGGAATGACTGTCAATAAATCATAAAGATGAGTACCTGTTCGATCAAATAATGGAAATGTGCAAAAGCAGGAGACAAGGAATTTCTGTCATAATGCATTTGTTTCATGATGTTTCATTAAACATCATGCATTTAAGTCTGCCAAGGCAAAAATGTTTTCATTGTGTCCGAGACGTAAGAATTGATGCGAGAACTATGAAGTACATGCTGGTGAAATTCAGATGTGTTTCATTCTGGACAGTTATTTCAGTTTCATATCAATATCTTTTCAGAATTGTATTTTTTAATATGTAAGGATATTGATTTTATTGATAATTCTTTGTTAAAGCAGACTTACTTAAAACAATAGGGGCATCTGTAATTAATTTCAAAGAAAGGCAGTGTATTAAAATGTGTCCACATACAAAAAAATTATCTTTAAATCTGGAGTTCTAGAATTTGAATAGGATCGGGACAAGTGGTAAGTTGTCAATTACCACTTGAGATGGTTAAATGATGTAAACACTAAGAAGTACTCTTTGTGTGGCTAGTCTATAGAAATCCCTTTGAAATGCATACACCTTATAGAAGGAATGGAGTACAGTAAGTGTCTGTCTTAATCCTAAGGACTGACCTTGTGAGATGATTGTAATATCAGTTATACACTATAGTAGCCTTTGAAGAAAAGAGAGAAATGGGCTGACATGTGAATTCAGGAGTCATATGAGTTCCTTTTGGCCACAAAAGCTCCCATGCATCAGGAGAAAGAAATGGTCCTGAGCAATCTAGCCAGGTAGGGAATTCCTTTCAAGGCCATGTGTGACCATCTCTAAGTCACACGTTCAGTGCAGACTAGCAAACTGCTAGAAACAAAGATAACCACACAGCTTTCCACAGAATATTTTATTTTATTCTTAATAGATTTTATGTAGTCTCAGGGTCAAACTGGGTATCATAACCTACCTGTTTTTCAAATTCCCTTTCATATTCCACACAGATATTGATGTTTGTGGCTTGGTAAAAGAACACATGGATCTAAGGATGATTCTTAAGGTAACTTAAGTAGCTTCTTACATCCAATTGCAGACATATTTTAGGCAAAATTTGAAACAGAACTACATAAAAATATTTCTGAGGTATAGGAAAGCTTTCAAACTGTAAGATATTTACTGCACTCAGGTGGGAAGTGAGACTTTTAAAACAGAGTAACTCATGGAGAATGCAACCCAGCTGTGACACATTGGTACAGAGGTGGGCACCAAACACAGTTGGGCTGCAAATAAAATTCCAGTTGTTGAGTTAGGATCACTTGAGCGAGTATCACCTGTGAGGCCCTCTTCCAAGCCAAACAACAGCATCTGAAAGACATTCTTTCCATTCTGTTGGAAAAGAAAGATCATCATATAGAGAATGAGAAGTTCCAAGAAGAATGGGAAGAGAATAAAATGGATTTGCAGTGATGAGCTGAAAAGTTGTGATAGGTAGAATACTATATAAATAGGTAAACATTTGTTCTTACTGTGTTAATTTGCTCCCCTGACTTCATGTATGTTTGGCACTGGATGTCTTGGGAATCATGCCATGGCCTCAGGCTTCATAGTGGTAGGCTGGATTTAAGAAGTATGGCTGATGGACAGCATTAGAAGAGGCAATAAATGTCTGCTGGTCTTCTACCAATGTAGTTGTTTAACTTAAAGGTGCAAATTTACCCAAATACAGTAAAATCAGTACTACCACAATTGTATCGGTTCTGCGTGGCATCAGCTGTTAGCCATATAATTACACCCTACAGGAATACCTGCACTGGCAGCAAGGATGTTGTTTGTCTTTGCTTCCTTTGATTTCTTATCTAACAAATTCAACATAACATAGTATAAAGAGGCACTAGGCTTAAGATAAAACAAATAGAACAGACGTAACAACTAACTACCCCGATGGTCATCATTGGTATTGTAAAAGTAATGACATCAAGCTAACGGAACCTTCAGCTGACCTGGTAGGAAAGGGAGGTGGCTCAATAGTCATTCAGGATCAGGAATATGACATCTTCCTGGTGCCTTCTGTGTCCTGAGATACTACAACTCATACTACTGCAAAGCAGAATCCTTTCTAACTGGCCAGCCCAAAGCCATGGCTCCACCCAGACTTAAGAGGTTTTCTGAGATTCTGGACTCAGGAACATCTAACAAGGTTGGGAATGAGGAAAGCAGTTAAATGTCAACGGATGAAGGAATTGAGGCAGAAAGAGACAGATGTTTCTCTGGCACATGGCTGAACTGTCTGGTGGAAGGCTTTGGCAAAAGCTTGTGATCTTTGTGTTCCTATTGCTGTTGAGAGGAACTGGGCTTTGTGTACAATTCTGTAAACACACAGATGATCTCAAAACTATCCCTGCTTCAAACCCATTTTTCATCCAGATGCACCTATTCTCCTGCAAAGCCTCGGTATTCAGTCTGCCATGAAACCAAAAGGGCAATGAGGCTATCATCCCCTGGTTCACATAGTGAAGTAGCCCAGCAACAAGCAATGCAAAACTGAACTACAAATTGCCCCATCCAACAAGCTGCACTCTTCCTTTTCCCTTTCAACAGTGATGAGCCACAGGGAAAACAAAGGGCTGCTGTCATCAGATTTTGGACTAAGCCTTTTCTCTTTTAATCACAAGAAAAAAATGATTGTAATCAATGGGATTTATATTTTCATATGATTTGGGAGATGCTTAAAAATGACATTTCTTGCAATATTTTAGCAGTTCCTGGGCACAGCACAGAAGAATGGAAAATGAAAATAACAATAATTGACTTAACATTTTAAATTGAAAGATATAATTCATTAGGAACCTGAAAGAAGCCCGGGACTGCTGGAGCCGTGTTTTATTTTACATAAACTGGAAAGGGTGGGAAATTCAAGCAGATTAAAAATCTTCTGCTAAAGTTTGCAAAAAACTGTCCTGCAGAAAGGGTTTACATAGGCAAACACATTTTCTTGATTTACTTTCCATCCAACAGTGCTCTAAGACTGTGGTGAATAACAGCAAAAGAGAGTGACTTGCAATAGAAATACTTAATGATCCTACAGGGTACGTGATAACTACGTAGTAGGAGCTTTCATGAGCTGCCTGACAAAAAATGTGATGCTCTGCTACATTAATCTAATTGAACCTTTTCCTTGCAGCTTCAATTGACAGTTTGGAAACCTGTAAACTTCTCTAAACATAGACAGCTTTCCATTTGCTGCAGTTCAAGAGAGGACCCTCTTCTTGAACTCCTCCCTTGAACTGTTTCCATGGAATGCTGTCCATATTCAGAAAAATGTACAGGTTGCCAAACTGTCAACTAAAGCTGTAATGAATGGCTCTAATTACATTCAAGTAGGAGAGAGCATTGCCATTTTAATCAAATCTGAGCCTTGTGAGATATTTGGCAGAAATACAAGAGAAAGCCTGAGGAAAACACTGCCAAAATGTTAGTAACCTTTTATTCTAAATTCTGCCTGTCAGAGAACTGAATACCAACTGCTTAGCAAAGGTTTTTGTTTTGTGGGGCTTTTTTATTGTAGCCTATATGGTTTCATCATGAATTATTATGCCGTTCTCTAACAACAAAGCAAAACAAAACTGAAAACACAGCCCCACAATTTCAAGGCTAAAAATGATGAACAGCAATTTCACTAATCAGTCAGTTACAGTCACACTGTCAGTCACAGAGGAAAGAGGGACCTGATAACATCCTTTCACTGACAGAGTTTCTGCCAGTGCTTAGCTTCGTGTCATGTACAGCAAGAGACATACAAGCAAACTGCTTTGTCAGATACCCCATCAGACGCTGCCCCAGCTCCTTTCCAAACAGCATAATTTTATGTTCCTCATTGCTTTCTTACCCTAATAGTGTGAAAGAGTTATTCTTACCAGTGTTTGGTAATACCGATATTCCAACCCTCTTTACCTGTCAAAAATTTGAAACTAACCCAAGAATTATAGCTAGCTATTCATTTATTTACCACAGCTTCAAGACCTCACTGTGATTTAAATGTAAAGTATGAAAATTACCCAGTGACAGGAAAGAAAAAGAGAGTAAGTTATCCACTGATCCTGTAAGTTTAATGGATAACATGAATAACAAAATATCCAGAATTTTACAAAATCTGTTCTGGAGAGTGGAGGAAGGCAACAAAGGAATTCCTTCTCCTTCCAAAGGAATTAATTTGGTAACAAGACTTTCAATGACATTTTAACCACCTGTTATGAAAGCATCTGCACCAAGAGCATTACAGGTGAAACAAGACAAAAGAGAAAGGATTCACCTCCCAGATATTTCAGGTGCAGCACAATAGATCTCCATCCACCACCTCTCTTCAGTTTCATGAGATGGATTTCATTTATTTCAGTAGGCATTGTGCTAGTCTTATCCTGCCAGCTGTCGTGCAGAAGTCCTGCTGCTTCATGTCCCAGCAGAAGGCCAAATGCCAACCAAGTCTTACTGCTCACTATTGCATTATTGGAGTGCTGTTTCTCCAGCTCCATTCCCAGCAACAAAAGCCCTCAGTAGAAGTGCTCTTCCAAAGTTCCAAAAAGTTTCCTTATTCATATTTTTTCAATTACATGTTCTAAGTTCGCTCTATATGTTTTAAATTGTACAAAACCTAAAAGAGGGGCAACACAGACCCTTTGCAACCATCTGTTTAAAAACCAGTTTTGAAGTTGCCTTCACTACATCATTACTTCGCTTCCTGAATAGTGTCAGGGGTTGTAGAGAAGCATTGCCTACCTATAGACAGCCCTTCCATGGTCCCCCTCAGTGACAAACCTTAGAAGCCCTCAAGAAATAGCCTCTCGATTTTAAATCCTAAGCTCTTTACCTCACACAGAACTGCATGATTAGAGTAGCAGTCTAAACCATTGCATTTTCTTTCCATTTTGGTGAGGCTGTTTCCAAAGAAGGTTTCTCTATTTTTCTTGAAGCTTTTTTTATTCTTTTTTCCCCCTTGGTAAGACTTTTGCAGACTACTGATGGGTTCTTTGGGCTAAAGATAATCTTGCCATTACATTTTTCTGGAATCCGCATGTTTTGAAGCCCCTGGTGAATTTGCTTTTTGGTACAGTGGTGGTCAGCATGGGATATGTCACTGGCAACTTCACCTTTGATGCAACTAAAATATCTGATTACCTAATAGAAAAAGGGTGGTTTTTTTTTAATTCTAGTTGCATTCTCCATTCCTTAAGTGTATTCTTTAAATACATGCATAGGTCTTTCTGGCTTCAGCTAATAACAGATGTTTTATACATGATGTAAAAGCTCCACACAGAAGGATATTTCTCTCCTATCAACTTCAGTTTCAAACATGAAATATAATTATCCTTATATCATTATCTTAGCCTGCATAGTTCAAAGAAATAAGACACAATCTGGAAGTGTTTCTGTGCCAAAAAATGTGCTAGCCTTTTCTTTTTCTAAAATTTGAGTAGCAGTTTGGAGGGAGAGAATCCTTTTTCTTTTATACTGGGTTAGTAAAAATTGAGTTTTTTCTTCACTTTACATTCCGACACAAAGCCCAGTATCACAAGCACCCTTCTTCTGGGTAAGGCCTGAGATAAGAGCATTCAAAATGCATGGAAGACACCTAAGTTGAAATAGTTTGCTTTTCAGGCATGCTTAGTGCTTTCTGCAGATGATGCACCACTGGTGCCTAAGGAAAGCACAGCCTTGGGCAACGAGAACTGAGGTCTATTTTAATGGGAGAAGTAATGTGCCCTGTTCCAACCCGGGTGCCCAAGTGCCTTAATGCATCTTTCATGTTACTCCAATGAAGAATAGTAAGGGCAGCTGTGTGAGAAGCAAAACAGGTTAGAAGCAGAAACGCCAAAGAAAATAACAGCTCTTTTACATAAATCTTTGCAATCTATAAGTTTCCTCTATGACCTTGATAAATTAAGTGCAGTCAGCTACCCCATGGACTAGGAACACCATTTGCCTGATGGTTGAAATGTACAATGCGGACATTTAGACAGGAGCTAATCACCATAAATTGTTCTTAGAATCAATGGGCATCTAGTCAGTTTAATTAACACAAACTATGGAGCTACTTACCTGCCTTAAGCAGATTTTTAAGATAGGTCAAGGGAATCCCATGCTAATGGTTCTCTTTGCTTTCCACTGCCCTTGAAGGCAGTGTGGATGACAAAGGCATCTGTAGTGAGGTGAGAGGAACCTGATTCCAGGTAATAAAATGTAAAATGTAACAGATCTTCAACTTCCCCTTGAGAAGTGAAACCTTGGGTCACTGCTAATGGGACCTTGCTAATGGGATCTTGCTACTTTACACCAGGTAAGAAATCAACTCACTTCTGTTTGCTTTGTTACTGATGAGACTCAAAAGAGCTAGTAGTGTTTCCACATACTAACCCAATTATTTCAGCTACAACTTAGGATATTAAACTTCATGTTACCAGACTTCATACAATACAATATTATGTGTAGTGTCTGTAACATCAGTCACCTTCAGCTGTCTTGCAGTCCCTGAAGTGAAACAGTCCTCTGCAAATGAGGGTTCACCGACCTACCTCATACACAACATATTTTAGGATTAGATGGCTCACTTTCCAGGAGTGCTTTTTTCTCTTCATCAGGAGTACAGCAACTAGATACCCAACACAAGCATGGACATCTGATTTTGGTGAACATAAGGGCAGGGCAGGCTGACTTCACCCACACTCTCACTTGCCCAAGATTTGTGGTGACCATTCCAGACCTGACTCAGCATAGTGTTTTCATAGAATCATTGAAGAGTTTGGGTTGGAAGGAATCTTTAAAGGGCATGTAGTCCAACCCATCTGCAGATAGATCATGTTACTCATTTTACTTGAAGTACTTAGTCTCAGACAGTATCTAGGTTATACTCTTCCCCTCTGTACTCTTCTATTTTCTTGTTGTCTTTGTTGTGAGAACAGATTTTAGTAACGGAAAAGACATTCTTGATTACCTGTGATGTTACTTTCCCAAGGACAGCAAGAATTACATACTGAAGCTGAGATAAATTTCTGAGTGTTGTGGAGATGAGAGATTTAATGATAAGAAATTTACTGCACTGGACATAATTTCTTGCACCAAAGAATCATTCCACAGATGAAACCAGTCACATTTGTGTATTTTTTTTCTGTTTGGAGGAAGGGGAGTATTGTTTTTAATGAAAATTAAATCCTGGGAAATTGTAAGAAGTAGATTAGTAATCCTTTCTTTGGTTATAAAGAATTTCTGCTACTCAAGATCTCTTAAGGAGACGAACCACTCCTTGGGAAAGACAGTGACAGTCAGGAAGAAAGAGAAGAAACAAAAAGCTTGTGTGTAGATTAAGCAATAGAGCATAATGCAAAGATCCAAATGCTACAGAAGTTTATTTACTCTAACAGGCCACTGCTTTCCCATAGTTTTATTGCTAGAAGATCTGAGCTAGTGTATCTTAAAGGTTGTCATGCAATGTAGTGATACCAGCACACTTCATTGCATAGCATATGCATACTTCATGACAGCTCAAATTAGAACTGCTACAGTGCCTGGACAAAATGGGGATGAGTCCATGGTGAAGCAACCCAAGTGCTGTGGAATGGCTGTGGAGATTTAAGGGTCCAAAGGGTTTGCTGAAAGGATTGGTAGTGAAGCCGTGTTTCTCACTATCTTTCCTGGAAGTCATTGCAAATGACTACTCCCAGAAACAAAAGCCAAGAAGGCATAAATCCTGTTCCATGTCAGGTCATTTTTAAATTGAAGGTGGAGATGGAGCATATTTAATGTGCCACCATTCTCAGGTCAGTGCCAGGTTTTATTTCTTTTTGTTTGTTTGTTTCGTTTTGTTTTACCAATGTTTGGAGGCAATACAGCCTGCCACTCCAGATTTTCCAACATATTTGAACATCCAAGGAGAGATAAAAGGGTATACAGTACTCACTGCAAAGCCTTTCAGATATGTATTTCTACCTTTTGGTACCTTAACATAACTAACTATGATACCTAGCAGAAGCACCGTGTCTCTGGAGCAGCAAGTTGTCTTGAACCAGCATCAGGGTATATGTGACTCAGCTGTCAAAAGATGATACTAAGTTTAGAATCATAGAATCATAGAATGGTTTGGGTTGGAAAGGACTTTAAGATCATGAAGTTTCAACCCCCCTGCCATGGGCAGGGACAACTCATACTAAACCATGCCACCCAAGGCTTCGTCCAACCTGGCCTTGAACACTGCCAGGGATGGAGCATTCACAACTTCCCTGGGCAACACATTCCAGTGCCTCACCACCCTTACAGTTCTTCCTTAGATCCAATCTAAACTTCCCCTGTTTAAGTTTTCGCCCATTACCCCTTGTCCTTTCACTACAGTCCCTAATGAAGAGTCCATCCCCAGCATCCCCATAGGGCCCCTTCAGACACTGGAAGGCTGCTATGAGGTCTCCACGCAGCCTCCTCTTCTCCAGGCTGAACAGCCCCAACTTTCTCAGCCTATCTTCATATGGGAGGTGCTCCAGTCCCTGATCATCCTCCTGTCCCTCCTCTGGACTTGTTCCAACAGTTCCATGTCCTTTTTATGTTGAGGACACCAGAACTGTACACAATACTCCAAGTGAGGTCTCCAGAGAGCAGAATAAAAGGGCAGGATCACCTCCTTTTGATGCAGCCCAGGATACAGTTGGCTTTTGGGCTGCGAGTGCACACTGAAACTGGCTCATGTTCAGTTTCTCCTCAACCAACACCCCCAAGTCCTTCTCCACAGGGCTGCTCTGAATCTCTTCTCTGCCCAACCTGTAGCTGTGCCTGGGACCTTGCACTTGGCATGGTTAAACTTCATGAGGTTGGCATCAGCCCACCTCACAAGCGTGTCAAGGTCCCTCTGGATGGCATTCCTTCCCTCCAGCGTATCAACCAAACCACACAGCTTGGTATCATCAGCAAACTTGCTGAGGGCGCACTCAATCCCACTGTCCATGTCAGTGACGAAGATGTTGAACAAGACCAGTCCCAACACTGATCCCTGAGAGACACCACTCATTACAGGTCTCCAGCTGGACATTGAGCCATTGACCACAACTCTTTGTGTGTGGCCATCCAGCCAGTTCTTTATCCACCGAGTGGTCCATCGATCAAATTGATGTCTCTCCAATTTAGAGACAAGGATGTCGTGTGGGACAGTGTCGAACGCTTTGCACAAGTTCAGGTAGATGACATCAACTGCTCTACCCCGTCCATCAGTTCCATAGCCCCATCATAGAAGGCCACCAAATTGGTCAGGCAGGATTTCCCCTTAGTGAAGCCATGCTGGCTGTCACCAAGCACCTTGTTGTTTTTCATGTGCCTTAGCATGCCTTCCAGGAGAATCTGCTCCAAGATTTTGCCAGGCACAGAGGTGAGACTGACTGGTCTGTAATTCCCCGGGTCATCCATTTTCCCCTTCTTGAAAATGGGGGTTATATTTCCCTTTTTCCAGCCATTGGGAACTTCACCTGACTGCCATGATTTTTCAAATATGATGGCCAGTGGCTTAGCAACTTCATTTGCCAGCTCCTTCAGGACCCGTGGATGGATTTCGTCAGGTCCCATGGTTTCATGTAGAGCTTATCACCACGTTGCTGCCCACTGCTGTATGAAGATCATGGGACTGTATTATACTTTGAATTCCATATGGCGTAGGCTGGGATTCCCATCAGATTTCAAGCAGCAGATTTTACCTGAATATTTCAGGAGTGAACTGTAGCTTGAGGATAATTATCACAGCTTCCTCAGTTAACCGCAAGTCTTGATAAGTTTGATGAACCACCTTCTCTTATCTTTCTCGTAACACACTAAATGGTTATGACAATAAAGGTATAGGATAGTTCATTTTTACTTGATACAGTGTTTTAATGTGTGTTTAGTCGGCATACAAAAGGACACAAATCTCCTGGCTAGGATGAAATTTTTTAGTTAAACCACTCAAATGATGGCAAGAGCCCGATGATCACCAGTCAACCATGGTATACAGGAAATGAAATACTTACAGGTGTGGCACAGTCCTTACTGCTGAAGAAGTGAAAGTAATAGCAAGGTACCAGCTACAGGCAGGTTTTCTGTATCATTTCATAATCTGTTATTTCATTTTGGAGCCCAACTAAGCAATCAGGACAAATCATGCTGCAACACTGTGAACATAAGAAATTATAGGCAAAACTAGGAAATACAAGATCTTTTACATGAAGATTCTCCTATGTTAAAAACTGATATTTTTGGAGATATCTGAAATTCTGACCTAAAGGTTTGTTTTTAAGAAATTATGGGGAGAGAGCCTATAGCTGTCTACAGATTAAACCAGCAAAGAACCTTGCAGGCTGATACATGGAAAGTAGTCTGAGTCAGCAGGATTTAGACTGGCTATTCCTGCAGATATTCAGTCCTGATTGCATTAAGATGTCTTTTGCAAACTGGTCTAGTCTGAGATTTGTTTGCCTTATCTTAACATATCCTAACATATCTTACATAAATTCAAGTAGAAGTCAGTGTTTTCACATGAAGATTTATGGTCACAAAGTCCTGGGAACCAGGACCACAGGCAACAACGAACAATTGAAAAAATTCAAATGTTACAAAGGAGATGACTTGTTTCCACATTGCATGATAACCAGCGATCCACTTACATACATTCAAAGCTTTCTCAAAAGTATTTGTTCCCTTTTGACTGCCCCACACAACTCACCAAAAACTGTACAAAATGAGCTTTTTGTTGCTTGTCACTTCACTTCCTGAAGTTGAAAGATCCCCAGAAAAGAGACAGAGAAAGTGACTGCTTCATGCACTGACAGGCCTTAGTGCCTTAGTCTTAATTAAGGCCTTCATCATACAAATCAATGATATGATGCAGAGGCTAGTCAAGTGATTAAATCAGTAATTCCCCCTTGAAGAAACCTAGGAAGACCAGTTTCTATAGCCTGAGCTGTTCTTATATCAAAGTTATTCTGAAAGGCACCACAGACAGCTCATCAGTTGCTGTAGGGAAGTCTCCAGCCGCAGGCTCTCCTTTGGTCCCCAGGATGATTACAGTTCTTACTAAGTAACTCTGTCAATCATGTGCTTTACCATTGTAGCTACCATGTGAAATGCTGGCCTCATCTGTGCACAGAGCCCTCTTGTCACAGCACTTAGAATACAAACTACCTGGATGGACCTTCACTTTGCCTTAGCCCAATCACATCAAGTGTGAGGCTGAGCTAAAGGACGTACCTGCATGCCATGCAACTGACAAGAAACAACAGCCTTCGGTATGTTTGAGGAGGGCTTCTTGATTTACTCGAGTGATGACATGGAATGATAACTCTGCCTGTTGCTCTAGCTGCTACTGGTGCTGATACTCGTGCAATTGCTATCAGGAGCAGGAACTTCTGGCTATATAAATAACAAAAATATGTGGGGCCTGAGTCTCCTCTGGCTTTCACCAAAGGCACTGCCATTACTGTCATGCATTATTTCAGATTGACAAAAAGCTTTAGGAGGAGAATTAGATCTAAAAGCAGAGAGTGTGATAAATGCATCAAAAATTTTCAGGCACTTAATCTTTTAGTAAATACCGCTAAGAAAATATACAGCCCTTAGAATGTCAAAGAGTCAGAGAATAAAGCAAAAGTTTGCAGTCAGGCAAGGCATTTGGAAGTACCATGAAGAAAGCGTAACTAGGGTAAATTTGCACAGTCTCTAGGAAGGGGGCTTTAGCTGTTTATGCTAGAAGAGAACTGGACCCAGTATCTGGGTCTGTGTTCAGCTCAAGCTAATCAAACTTTCACAATCCCAGTTTTGCTGCTTCAAGAGATTCCCTTTAAAAAAAACCTGATAATTCTTAACATCAATCTTTCATTGAGGGCAGGGGGAGGAAATTTGTCTTTTCCTTCAGTCGTCTCCCCCAGTTGCACATTTTGGCTCTTTGCCCTGGAAAAACAAACTTCATGAGGAATTTTACAGAGAATCCTGCTAGTTAGAAGATAACACAATTCATTTTATTAGCAGCAACTATGAGCAACTAACATAATTTCCTACAAAAAGCTAGCAATGGACATCCCACAAGCAACAGTCTTTCTCAGGGAGCGATACAGATAAAAGATCTGTCTTACTAGACTTATTCTTTGCCTGATTGTAAAATGGACAAAGAAAAGTAAACCAAGGGAAAGAACATCAGTTTTGACAAGTACTATGATCAAATTGGCAGTTTTCAGAGAGAAAGACTGTAATGCTGCTTCACAAAATTCTGACTGATGTGACAATTTGTAATTCCCATGACATATCAAGAGGCTGCTTAGGCATTTGTATATATATAACCCTTTAGTCAGTTACAAATCACATTAGAGCCTTGATACATTAGAGAAAACATTAAAGCAATGGCATTCTGTCACTGTAGCACAATTGCGGAATCAGAATCAAGCTAAAGTGAGTTTTACTTTAATAGGCTTCTCAAAGTTGTCTTATGTGATAGTCTCACAAGCAAGCTTGGAAAACATGTCTACAGAGCAAGTAATTTGGCACAACAGTAGCAGGCACAACTAGAGCCCTGTGTTCAAAGACACCTAAAAAACCAACCACTAGTTTGGGCCCTGTTATTCTGCTGGGAATTGCAGAGTTTTCAGTATATACCTGGAGATAAAATTCAGTATGAGCTTCATCTCCAAGGTGTCTAGGTCACACACTCCAAAACCTCCATAAAACCGAACCACACATAAACAGGCCAAAGATACACTGATTCTCCAAAGCAGATCATGAGTGTAGACACAGCCAGAGACTAGATGCAATTACTGTAGAGTAAGCAAAAAAAGTGGCCCAAAATGTTTGCACAGAGTAGTTAATAATGGTTCACTATCAGCCTGAAGGATCTATTGAATGGAGATCCATGAAAGTCTGTTCTGATATAATGCTGTTTGATATTTTCATTACCAGCTTTTATGAAGAAACAGAGAGGACGCTTATTTAACTAGCTAAAGACGCAAAAGAGAAGAGGTATACAAGTATGCTAGATGTCCACAAACTGAAAAATTTGCCTGCAATTCCTAAAGAACACCTAATTGAAATCATTATCTACAGAAATATAGGATGTGGACCCACTGGCTTAGTAGTTCTGGAAAAAAGTATTAGGCAGCTTTATCACAGGCTGAACATAGTTTTTCTTTAAAAAGCCATCTGTGATAAACAATTAAAAGTCATGTCAGGATGTATAGATAGGAATACAGTGCAAGAGCATGTGAGGCTGGCAAGGCTTCAGACGGAAGGAATACTGCGTGCACCAGGTCTGGAACAGAAATGCCCATCCATCTTCCATCCATGCATGTCTCTTTACACACCATCCTCTGTTTTCCTTGTGATAAGCAGGTACTCTTAAGATGCCTAACAAATGTCAGTAGTAGCAATAATAAGAAACAACAAAAGTAGCAAAACTGACTCACACAAACCAGCAACGGCAGTAATTGCTGACTGCATTGCTACTTTAAGCAATTCATTTCTGCAAAGCTACTAAACATTAGGGTTTAGTGAGAAGGGCAGTGAGAAAATGGCCTTTCTTGTCACAGTGTCGATCAACTTCCCTTCTATCAAACACTCATCAGCTGGTTGTGGTAGGACCCACAGTAATGCCTGTCTCTTTCAACTTATTGTCTCCTTTCTAATCTTACTCATTATGTAAATGATTGTTGGCACCATTTTTCCTAAAGGAAATTTAAGCTTTAGCATCCAAGAACCCCCAACGCCCTTCTTACATCTTGTCTTTTCTTAGGCTATACATTTCTGGGAGACACTTTGTGACTTGAAGCAAATGACAGAAACTCTGCAAATGATTTCTTATAGTATGACTTCCTATTTTAGAGAATAGAAGAGGTATGGAATCTATATGCTTCCCCTCTTCCCCCTTCTTCCCCCCAAAAAGTCCAAAGATTCTGTGTATGCCTTCCTGTATCATTTTCTTCCTCACTCTACTCCTTCAGATTGAGTCCATCCTGGAGACAGTACAGAGTCCCCCTTTGCATAGCCTGGCCTTCTGATTTAAACTTTCTCTGAAAGGGACAGTGAAAGACTTTTTAATTAGGCTTCAAATTCTCTTTATCAGGAGACGTGTCTCTCTCAGCCCCTCTTGCACACTCCCATCCAATATCTATCCACAATCTAGCTCTGTGGCACGTCACTATGAAGTAGTCTGTTCATTAACACGCAACTGAATTTCAGATCTGAAAACATCAAAACTCTCTTTCTTTTATTAGTAGTCTTTCCTTTGACCTAATGGAAACAAGGAAATCCTTTAACACATTTCTAGTTTCTCTAGAAGCCTTCTGAGCATTCTGGCCTAGCATAGACACCACAGACACAGGGGAAGGCCCAGACTGGAATGTAGACAGCACCCTTGTAAAAAATAAATTAACTTTGTAGATAGGTGTAGATAAAACAAGCTCGAAACCACAACTTGTATTTCTGTGCTGCACACTGTGGCTATGTACAACTACTGATTAGCAAACATTTTCTTTAATGGATTAAAATGGCCTGTGTATTCACCATCCATAAGACATCTGTTGTGCTTTTATCACTCACTTGAGCAAGATATCCCCATCTTTCTGATCCCCAAACTTCGGTTTTTATCAGACAAAACAAATCCTGCTCAATTAACCTTAGTTTGTGTGAATGAGGCACAAAATGTTATGAAAGGCCAGATACAAAAACAATAACAGAAGATGTTACATTAACAGAGGTGTGGGAAGACAGTGTGTCAGAAGTTTGCCAGTTTTGGTGAGAGATATAAACATAGAGCTTTCAGAAGATCTGATACCATTTATTTTGTTTGGCCTTTATCTGTGCTAATCTACTTCAGGGGTTGTGCGGGGCCACAAAATGTATGAAGAATTGATGCATAAAATTCCTTACATGTCTGAAGCAAAGCCATTAACCATAAAAATGCAGGTGAAATGGCATTTATTAATATCTAGCATACACATTCAAGTTCTAATGTGACAGTACAGATTCATAAGCTGTGTTCCCATTTAAGGAAACAAGTGCAGGAAGAAATTGTTTTTAAAAGTCAGTTTCTTTCTGTTTAAACAGCAGCTTCTTTTGTGAATTTAAGTGTTTTAGTGAGAAATAACATAGAATTCCAGCATTTTAATTTTTTTTAGCAGGAGATATGAGTGAACTTTTATACAAAGAGTGCCAACTTTTTTGTACGTAATAAACATTTTTATTTTGCTCCATGCACTAGCAGATGGCTTTGGTAATGGGTCCTACAGAGAATGAATTCAGATGAACCAAGAGCACTGCAAGCTTTACATAGCAAAATATATCACCAAACTGCCAAAATTTCTCCTTCTGACTTACTTAAAATGTACACTTCAGCCTTTCGAAATGTCTCATTTAGCCATGTAATTTTTGAATCCCTAAATTAGGACGGGTTAATTCCACCTAATCCTCCTGTTTACCAAATCTGTACTATGCTATAATTGCAAACATGCAATCTGTAGTTAATACTGCAAACAAAATACAACAGACCCCTACTCCATGCACTGGGAACAATCAGCATCCAGCAACCACTTTTGGAATCACCTTTTCATGCCTCCCAGAGTGGCACTGGCCCACAGACCACATGTTGAGCAATACTGGCCTCAATGAGTCTAGAGGCAAACTGCTGCACAAGTGCAGGTCTGTGTGGACTAGGGGCAATCCAGCCACCACAGTGCAGGCTTTCGTGCATGCTGCTCACTGAAGTAAGCTGCCTTCTGCCTGGGGGTTTGGCAATCTAGGATCAAGGCCAGTTGAGGCAGGTGCTGAGCCTTGAGGAGAGCTCTTTGAGGCTGCTAGGAAGTCTCAGCAGCCACTCTCTCTTTTTCTCTCTGGAGCAGCTTTCAGTCTGTAGGTCTCACCCTTGGTCAGCACCACTGCAATGTAGCTGTGACCAGTCCTGGCCAATGTACCCTTGCAATCTGCACCTCAGCCATCACCGGAATTGTCTCCCCAGCTTGACCATATACCAGCCTCATCACTATGACCACCGACTGTGTCCGATCCTGCCACTGACTTGCTGACCTGCTGCTGGCCTGACTTGATTACTTGACCTCAGACTTGCTATGCCCCCATGGCCTTGTCTGGCAGTCTGGACTTTGGGCTGAAAACTGCTCTGCTTGCAGTGTCCAGGTGCTACAGGATGGCACTCTTGGTGAGGCCACCCCCTTTCTCTGCTCCCCTTCCTGCTGAAACCTGTGATGCTGTGTTTTCCTTGATACAGTGACTGAAACCACCACATCTCTGGGCAGTCTCAGAGAAGCATGATGAAATGCTCATCATTCGCGAGTTGTGTATGGAGAACATGTACAATAAAGCATATGATCAACGCAAAAAATGCCAAATCTGGTAAAAACAGAGGGTAACTTTTG